CCAAGCTCCCACTGTGTTGACACCCTGAGTCGCAGGGAATACACATCCCACTGGGCTTCATCGTCTTCCTGCCACTTTGAACCAAAAATAGACCTTCAGCTCCTCCTTAATTTAAGGACACATGGCCCCAGCTTGGAAGAGGAAGCATTATTTTTTCTAAAAATATATATATGTAGGGGGAACAGTGGGCACAAGCAGAGCTCACTTCCTCAACCCCATGCCCTTCTTCAAGGTCAGGGGTTCTGGATCAACACTCAGTCTCACATTCACAGCAGTGTCTCAGAATCTAAGCATGCAGAGCTGGGTACCAGCCCTGGCCTGGAACATCCCTACCTGGCATCTCTGGATGTTCTGGCAGCCCGTGGTCCACAGGGGTGGCTGGAAGGTCCTGACCTCACCAGAGCCATCCAGAGGGAGCAGAGACCCCAGAGGTGCTGGCTTGGGGACCGCGTGACTGTAGCACTGGAGAGAAGGGGCAGCCTTTCCCCGGCGACCCTGGAGCTTCCCACAGTCCCTGGGCCAGACACAGATGTTTGTTGATTGAGCAAATGAACATGTGTATTAATATTCAGGAACCACGGCCAAAAGGATGAGGTAATCCACTCGAGTAAATTCTTCAGATAATTGAAACCCCATCAATTCACGTTAACATTTTCCACCAGCTCCTTAAACAGAGGCAGACATGTTTGTTTTTTTTTTTTTGACGGATGATGCCTGAGTGTCGGTTACAGGCTGGGCAGCGCGCTGGGCAGCAGAGAGCCGGCTTTCTGGGGGAGACGAGCAGAGCCGGGCGCTTTCAATGTGCAAATGGCTCCCGCGCCTCCCCTTGGGGTCCTGTGTGGCCGCCCCAACCTGAGCACAGCTGCGGGGCCCCGCCTCGAGGCAGGTGGCACCTCCAAGGAGGAGCGGTTCCACAGCTGGTTCCCTCGGGCCTGCCACTCGCAGCCATCTCTTAATTAGCAAAATAAACAGCATGATGATAAATGTCATGATTTACTCAACAAATGATCAAAATCATTGTTTTTCAGACCCCGGGGCAATAGAATGCAATCACGAGGTGATTTATTCTGGGAGGGTGAGTGGTGGCTGTGTCAGCAGGCAGGCTGTGTCTGGGGGGAGGAGGGGCCGGGAGTCCTGTGCAGGGGACAGACACCTCCCTTTGAGATGGAGCCCGGGAAGCTGTGTTCCACGCACCCCACGCTCCTGTCTGTGTCCAAGGACACAGCTGCCAGGTCCGGGTGCACGGAGAGCAGAGTTATGCTTTTTTTCCAAAATGAGGGACTCACTCCTGGCCTCCCCCAGAACACCCAGGGTCAGGGTGGGGGGAATGTTTAGAATCATCGAATGTTCCCAACACCCATGTGAAGACAAAGCAGGTGAAGAGCAGGAGGAGGATACCCAGCCACGGGGCTAACCCATGCCTTCCTGTTTCGTTCAAGTAAAATTCCTGCACAAGCCAAGATGCTCCTGCTACCTTGACCCTGAAAGGTGCGAAGTCACCCACGCCACTCCAGCAGGGACAGAAATGTTTTTGTCAGAAGGGTTGAGTCACCAGAAACCTCAGCACAGAAAGAGAACATGACGTGGGACCCTTGGATTTCAGTTCAGTGGAATGGTCCAGAACAGGAATTCTGTTCTCCAAGTAGAAAGAAAATTGTTTCAGTGAAGTCCCAAAATGACAGTAAGAATCATCGGTTTGACCTTGATTTTGAGCCTGTCCATCGAGGGACACCCGCCCTGTGTCTGCAAGGGGATCTCCCTGGATCCTCCTCTCCTGCTGCACCCCCAGACCAGACCCCGTGGGAGCAACCACGCTCTGAGCCAGGCTAGGACACAAGCCCTGCTGCCAACCACCACCCCTTGGGGATCCAGAACCTTCCTGGCTCCTTCTCGGAGCTGCTTTGCCATCTCTGCTAGAAGATGGTCTGTTCATCTTCAAGGATTGAAAGCCATGTAAACTGTAGTCACATCAAATCACACTGACTGACGAAGCTCAAGTATCACGGTGACACTGAGTAACAACACATACACTATTCAGGACCGGACTGTCGGCCTGCAGGTGCTGTCCCTGGGCTCTGCCTCGATGGGCCTCAGTCTGCCTGGTGTCCCCAGCCAGGACGCTCAGACACTGACGCTTTGCTAGTGATCATCTTTGTCCCCAGCCCTTCATGGGGACGAGCAGACCACAGGCCCAGGGTGGGCATTTGCAAGGTGCAAGGACACAGTCAGCCGCCTCACTCGGGACTTGGGGCTCCTCTGGAGGCCCCTCTGCTGTCCGGGGCCATGGAAAGGTCTAGACTCTAGAGCCTGGGTTCTCCACTCCTGGTCTGGGCCCTGTTTGCAGCAGAGTGAAGGCAAGGACCATGCCTGCCCTTCAAGGGCAGTGAGGCCCACTGACCGACACTGTCACCGGGAGGAGGACATAGGAACCAAGTGACACAGTGGTCTCCTGTTTGGGGACATAAGTGAGGCTGCTTGACCTCCGCCCAGAGGTCCAGGGAGCTAGACTGATTTCAGGCCAAAGCAGGTTCACCCTCGGCTTTGGGGCGCCTGATTCTGCTCTTGGGGCTTGACCATGACTACGGCGACACCAACGGCTGCTCATGACTGTGTTGGAGGGGACAGGATAGGAGGCCAGGAAGCCCAGAGACGGCCCCAGAGCAGGTGGTCAGGCCTGAACTCACCCAGGAGACAAGGCCAGGCAAGTCACACAGTGCATCTGGAACGTGACGTGAGGATGTGGATGCAGCGCAAACACCTGCCAGGGCCGGCAGGAAAGGTGGTGGTCAGGTCTCGGTCCCGGAATCAAGGCGCTGCCTGGGGTGGGGCAGGAGGCACCTTGGAGGGGAGCGATCCCGCATGTACACGGAGGACAAATATCACAAAGTCAACAGGCGCCAGGTAGATAACAGCACGGCCCGTACCAGGCCCGGCACCCGGGGCGGCCGTGATACGGGCCGTTTCTTTAAAATTAGAGCAAACAGAGGCCTGCATCTGAGCCGACGAGAATCAGGTCACCTCAAGGTCATCCATCACGCTATATGCGGGGTTCGTTTACCCTCCAACATCTGAAGCTGTCTTCTAACTCAGAAGTCCGGGCCCTTCCAGGCACATCACACAAACCCCTAAATTCCTCCTGAAAATAGCCAGGTGGGAAGTATAGGACAGGCCATCCTACAGCCCAAGCCACTTACTGGTCACATCATGTGAACACACTCTTCTCAGCCCAGTGAGGGCAACCTTGTGGGTCTCTGAAGAGCACACGAGCTGCCCCCAAGAGGCCCTTACCTCCCAACTCCTCACTTTGCTCCCTCCCACCTGTTTTGCAGGTGACCCGACCTTGAGAGGCACACACACAGAGTCAGCCACCTGGGGACAGCAGGGGACAGACAGGCCAGTTCACACAGTGCAATTGTGGCCCCTACCACTCAGTTGTGGTGAATTCTGACATGCCTGCTCCTTCATCCATCTGGTCAACCCACTGCCCCTCTAAACCTTCAAAGTCATCCACAGAGCTTGGGCTGTCAGCTGGCACCTGGTAGGGGGCTTCTGCGTCCCCTGATGTCCATACCTCATGTACTACCACAAACCCACCTGCAGGAGAATCAGGGGGTCCAGCGCTTGGGGTGCCCCCATGTCCTCCCTTGTGAAGGGAATGGGGGTCTCAGGTCTGCAGTACTACCACCAGCACATGACTCAGCCAGACTCTGTGAGACCCTTTCAGAGGGTTTCAAAAGCTGATGGACCGGACTGGCGGGGATGTTCAAGGGCTGCTAAGGGTCCCCTGGGGGTTGCTCAAGGGTCATGCACTGTGCACCCCGAGTCTTCAGGGAGCAGTGATGCCCCCAAGAGCAGCCTTCTAGATGGTAAAGACTTGTCAGAGGGCAAAGATGGACCCAAGCTTACCCCCCTCTGTCCACAGACCCTGAGAGACACACCTGTCCCACACAGCATGGGAACTTTTCCAAAGCCAACGAGCAGTTGGGGGAGTCGGTCCCCTCGAGCCCCACCACCCTGAACCACTGGCAGGGGCACAGCTGCCGGCCCCATAGGGCCCTCTTCCCTCCTTGGACAGCTCTCCCCTTCCCAGCTCTGACCACCATCCAAGCACTTTTGCAAGTGGTAAAACACCCAGGCGGAATCTGGGTTGGCACTTGTGTTTTCCATCCAGGCAGGGTCCCTGCCCAAAATACTGCTGCATGCTGGCTCTGTGGGGCCTGCAGAGAGGTCAGGACCAGAGGGGAGTGTGCTTTCCTGGGGCCCTGGTTCTTAGGAGACCATCTTGAAAGCCCCCTGAACTGGGGCGCAGTGTCCCTCATGGTCAGAGCAGGATGCTTCCGGAGGAAGGACCCTTTCACGACTGTCAACCCTCCACCCCCTACCTAATCAGCCTCCCTCTCCAGGTCACACATAGCCTCCAGGACTGCTGAGCTAGGCCTGGATCATCAGGGAAATCAAAACCACAAGACTCTCCTCTCTGCCCCTGCTAATCTGAGAAGCGGAGGCTCCTCTTAGGGAGCTGGCTGACCTGAGCAGACCAGCAGGAGGCCCAGGGCATGGATGCGCCTGAGGCATCTGGGGCAGTGTGGCCACCAGACACGTGCTGCTCTGCTGAGAGTTGGGCCCCCATCTGAGGACTTTCCCGGGAGCAGAGACCTTGTTCTGGGAGACTCCCATCGATCCCCAAGGTCCTGCCGAGATGGCAGCCTTAGCATCTAAGATCCAGATGGAAGCTTGAAGGGTTTAAGACATGAGCTCATTAAAGACACATTTCCGGGAAGAGAACGGGTGCGGCGGACGGGGGCCGCCCGGCGTCCACTAGGCCTCTGGTGTTTTTGGAGTCGCGTCATACAAGCCGCAGGATAAAATAAGCCTGGGAAATTCAGCACTCTCTGCGACCCAGCCTCCCGCCTCAGGCAGCACCGTCAACCCGGCTTTATAAATAGATGGACCGCGAGACAAACGGCCGCCATCAATCACGCGCGCGCGGCAGGGCTCACCTCCCATCCGAAGTCCGCCTCGTTCAGCGTGGCCCGGGGCGCCACCATGTATGGGCCGAACCGCTCCCCCACCTCCATCTTCTTCTTGGCCCAGATGCCCAGGCCAGCGCCGGGGATGGAGGACTCACGGAGCTCGAAGCCCGGGGGGATGCGGATGTCCTCGGGGATGTAGACCGGGGCCTCGTATGGCGAGCCTTCCTTGGGCGTGGGGAAGGGGGACGGCGGCCCCATGGGAATGGGGGACATGATGCTGTCCTCGGTCTCGTCCTCCGCGCTCTCGCCCGCCAGCAGGTCGGGGTCCGGCCCGTACATGTTATTTACAATGTCACCGTCACCTGGAGGAGACAACACAGAGTCAGCCTATGTAGCTCCGCTTCCCGGGGCCCGAGTTTGGGGACTGCCCGGGACAGGGGACGGAAGAGAAACAAGGGCCAGCCACCCCCACTGCCTGGGAGGCGCGGCCTCTGCTAGGGGCTCCCAGGGGGAGGTTCCAGCAACACTCGGGCAACAACACAGACCCCTTGGGTCAGCAGAGTTCTCCCCAGGCTCCCAAAGGCCCTGGCAATGACTGAGGACGTCCTGCATTAGGAAAGGAAGGGCACCCACGCTCCATGCGATGGGGGCAGCAGGGAACGCAGACACACTGGGGGGCCCCACCCTAGGCTGGTGATGAGGCATTCATTCTGGAACCAGTTTGTGTCTGCAGCCTTGGAAATCAGGGAATGGGGCAAGTACCAAGATCTTGGGGGGACTCAGAAATTGAGTTATGTGAAATTTGGGCTGCTCTGGGAGGAGGGTGAGGTGGGGGTGCGCTGGGGCTGGGGAGGGTTCCTAGAAGTTCCCTGACTACTTAATGGCAGGTTAGGACAGAGGCCTGCTGAGTCATGAACTTGGGAGCCCTTGGGGGGCAGATCACGGGACTGAGCAAAAGGGTCTCCAGCTTGTCTGTCTGGTGTGGCCCTTTCTTTGGGGTCCAGCCTAGGAGGCAGTTGTCCCCAAAACAGTGCCGCCTAGAAGTTCACCTGAGGGTGGCCCTGAGGTACAGAAGAGGTAATGAAGAGTGGGCTGGGCAAACGAACTGGTCAAACAGCTGGAAAACCAGCTTCACTCCTGGCATCGACCTTAGCACGGCAAACAGGAAGGCTTGGGGGTGAGGATCCCACCAATGTGAACCCCCAGGCATCCCAAGGGGAGCAACACATGAGAGGATCAACAAACATGGTCCAGCCGCACAACAGGCTGTTCATATTAACATAGATGAAGAAGATCGACCTCACAGGGGCAACACGGGTGAGCCTCGCGAGTGTCACACCGAGTGAAGGAGGCCGGCCGCAAAAGGCCACGAGTCCTAAGATTCCATTTATGCTGAATGTATGGACAAAAGGCAGACCCATAGAGATAGGACCCATGATGGTGGGGTTGGGGTGAATGGTTGGTGGGCCCAGGGCCTCCTTTGGGAGATAAAAATGTTTTGGAACCAGACAAAGGTGGCCAGCGTGCCCCTAAACGGTACACTTTAAAATGGTCCATTTTCACGTGAGGTGGATCTCACTCGTACGATTAAAGAACTCAGAGAAGAGAGATAGGAGGAGGGGGCTGGGAGTGGGAGGCGTGGCAGGAGAGCTGCTCCCCTCTCGGAGCCTGCTGACCTCTGATCCGGATGCTTCCGCCCTCCTTCTGGGACTTGAAAACCTCAGAGAGCGACCCAAATACTGTGGTTCACTCTGGCTCTCGTCTTGCGGTCCCCTCCCCGCTCCCTGACATCGGAGGGTGGAAGGGATGTCTCCAGGGAGACAGGAACTTCGGGGTCCTCACGCTGACTCAAACTGATCCGCGGGTCTTTTCAAAAGAAACCAAAGTCTTAAAAAATGATGGGGATAACATTTATTTAATTTAGCAGCATTCACAGAAGTAATTATTATGTTTTAAGTGGCGAACGGTTCCTTTTTAACTGACTTGTAGGATCCTTTCAAAAATGCAACAACAGAACGGCAGCTGGTGTGCGCCCATCCCAAGGACCCAAGACTGCTGAGGATTGAAAGACCACCCCCGGCCCTTCCCGGGGTGCATACACCAAGGTGAATTGGGAGGAGTAATTAACGTGCCACCTTATTAGGTGACCCGGTGACTGCACGGAGCTCCAGCAGACTTGGGTGGGACACCCCCCACCCAGGGTCTGATGCCTTTGCGTCCAGCTGGTGAGGAGCCCAGCCCCTTGTGTGAAGGCGCTGGGCAGAAAGGAGGACCTGTTCCTATCCATGCATGTCCATCTCAGGGCTCTTTTTTGTTTTTCTGGGTGGTTTTTCTTTTTTTCTGTTTGAATTCTACTTCCCCAAACTCCTCACCTACTGGAGGAAAATCAACGCTTGAAGGGCATGTTTAATTTACTGGCCGAGCAAACAGCTTAGGAGAGAAGGCAGTGTTTCCTGCTGATTAAAGGAAAGCTGTGCATTGCCCGCCTCCCACCCTCTGCGGTCACCAGGGTTAAGTGATTGCTTGGAGCCACCAGGAAAGCCCAGGTCTCATTCGGCTGCCCCATAGCCAGCGGGGATGGTGGGGAGGCTCTTTTTTTGGACATGGCTGAGAGGAGGCCTAAGGGTGCAGAGAAAACACCTGGAGAATAGGAGATGAGCTGAACAGCCCCCAAGGCCCCTCAGGAAGCAGAAGGCTGCCGGGACGCTGCTGAAGCCTGTGTAGGACGAGCACAGACTGTCCTCCCCTGAGGTCCCTGAGCAGCTGGGAGGCTCAATGGAAAGGCCCAGAGCCCCAGCCAGGCTGCTCTCAGGACCACCAGCCCCTGGTGGTAAAGGAGCCCCTCAGCCCCGGGCTGGCAGGTATTTCCAGGGAGGGGGTGCCATTGCCCCTGGCCCCTGCCCCCTGCTACCCAGGCCTCTGACCACCGGCCCATTCCCAGCCCACGCTCTCTGGAAGGGCCGGAGGCAGTGCCAAGAGCAGGAGCTTTTTATGACCTCGGCATCTAGGCTGGGCCGCAGCGTATTATTCACTCGTCAGGGGACTGAGGCCCTTCACTGGGGTTTTGCGGTTGTTTTAGGCTCAGGGTTCGTGACTGAGTCCATCAATCCCAAAATTTCTCCCAGGAGATCACCCCAAATAATAAAAGCAGAGAGGAGAGGAGAGGAGAAGGTGCAGGCAGCAATAGGAAGAAGAGGAGAGCCACAGAGGATCCACAGCCACAGTGGTGAAGCCACAAGGCACCTGCCGTGGGGCCGGGTCCCAGCCAGGGCGCCGGGCTCTGGGCAAACTTTATGCTGAAACCCAGTTTGGAGCTTGTCTGCCTCTCTCACCCAGATCCCTGAGGACACTCCTCCCTACCCAGGAGCCCCATCCAAACACCAACCCATGGCCAGGATTTCAGGGTCTGGAGAGAGAGGAGGCCCCCAGTGAGCAGTGGGCACGACTGGCCAAGGCAGAGGGTCCTTCTTGTACCATCCCTAGAGGGCTGATGGCCCGGCCATGGCCAAACAAACAGCATCCTACGTGGGGGGTGATTAGGGTGAAAAGACCCCTGGCCCTTCCCTGATTCCATAGCTCCTGGCTGCACGTAACCCAGGAATCAGCAGATTTAAGCCTTGACCTGCAGCCAGGGGGAGCATGAGGGGGCTTCTCTGAGTCGGTATGAGGGGGTGTTTTGTTCCGGTTCCTCCTTCACTGAAGGGCGGGGTTTGGAGGAGAAGCCATGGAACCACACAGGGCGCTGGGAGGCTGTGGGCCGCCCCCTGGAGCCGGGAGTGAGAGAGTGTGTGTGCATACAGGTGAGCACATGTGGGTGTGCCTATGTGCAACAGCAGGTGTGTGTATTGAGCGTGTAAATGGAGGCAATGAGTCCTGAGCAGCAGGCCTGAGGCCACCTCAGTCAGCGCCTTGCCTTTGCATGGTCCTGTTGTGGAAGGGCATGGCTGCCTCCGCGCAGACACCCTTAGAAGAAGGGAGGAGAAAGCCCCTCTGTGAGGGCCCTGTTGCCCTCCAGCACAAGGCAGTCCCCACCATGGGCTGGGAGGTTCCCAGGGTCACCCTGCCACAGCCTGCTGAAAGGCCAGCTGTCACGTGTTTCTTAGGAGAGTGGCTGTTATTAGAAGATGCTTCTTGAAAACCCGGGGGCTCCCTCCAGTGCAGGAGTGAGCTAAGACCCCACCTTTAAGTGGTTCACTGAGGGGTGCAGACTCCTGGAGATGAGTGGGGGCTAAAGGCAATCAATCGATCTACCCCAATCTGGAGTTTCCTGGAGGCTCCTCGGGTCACCTTGGACCCTGAAATCTAATGGAGGTGTCTACGTGGTCTCTCAGGAGATGGCGGGGAGCAGGGAGGCCAGTCCTGAATAGCATGTGCAGGTCAGGGCCTTGAAACTAGCCTAGCTTATCCTCCTGACCCCCAGGACACAGGGTCACGTTGCTCTCCTCCAGAGCCAGGGAGCGCAGAGCAGAGGGACCCACACCCCAGGAACATGCTCCCTGCACCCAGGCACCAGGGCCCAGATCCCAGCTCCCAGCCTGGCAGGCTGCCCCCCCACCACTGCCCTGGTCCAGGTGGGCCTTCTCATTTGGGGGATGCTCACACCACCCCACAGCCACCAGAACAGAGGTACCAGGAACAAGGGACGGTGTGCCCAGAGGAAGCCATCTGGGCCCAGCAGTGAGCTCTGCCCACGCTGGCCAGGCCTCACCCCACAAATGCCGCAGAGCTTCATCCCTTCCAGCACATGCTGTGAGACCCTCCTTTCCTCACCCAAAAGAGAAATACCCTCCATGTAAACAGTAAGCACAGGCAACACTTTGGGGTAAAACTGAAAATGCATCCAGGTCTGGGTTTCCTTTCTGGTTCAATTGTGTCTCACCCTCATCTCTTAGAAGTGGGTGTGTGAACATCATAGGAGGGCAGACTGGCTGCAGAGGCTCCAGCGGGGTGCCCTGAGGGCCCGGCTTGCAGAATGAGGCAGCTTGGCTGGCTCCCCACAGAGCTGGCCCATCCAGAAATGATCTTGGGGTCTGTGGGTAAAAAGCAAATTGTCTTCAGCCAACTTGATCCTGACTGGGATCGAGAGGTGCCACTGCCCCCACACAGGACAGAAGAGATCCTTACACAAGGGGGGAAAGGAGACCCTGAGACCCCCGTGAGCCAAGCCACCTGGAAAGGGGACTCAGGACACCGCTGTTGTGCTAGTGGCCAAGCTGGACCCGGAGCTTGGTCAGCTCATGGAGCCCTGACGGGGAGGTCAGTCCACAGCAGGCAGACTCCACCCAGGCTCCATGCGGTCATTGCACTGTCAGTTCTCAGCCTTCACTGTTCCCTGTGGGCCTGGGCTGCTTGGCCCTGCCCA